GCTAGATTGCCCCGTGAAACCCAACTCAGTACGTACTGTTTAGCTGCTTGCCTCCACCCGTTCATAATTTCTACAAGAGGTATTAAGTTTAACGCGATTTACTATATTTATATAATTATATATATGCCAATAAAATTCCGGAGGCAAATAAACTCTGAATATTATTTCAAAGTGCAATTGAATTTACGGTTAAAATGTCGCAAAAAAAATTACAATGACCTTTAAATTAATTTTTAACTCGGTAATTTTTCACCAATTCCTTTCGCACAGGCTCAAAATAATTCGCACATTCGCGAATATCGAACACGCTTGTTATACAAATTTTCTGAACCAGTCACTTAAAAAAAATTGTTGCTCATTCCTCGTTACCCTTGTACACGATTTTTCGTACAAAATCTCGCAATCTTATACGATTATCATATTATTATTGTTCTCTTTCATAAAGTATAATTAATTGAAAGACATTAACGATTAAACACTGAATTACGTGCAAATATAAAAGTATATTCAGGTAACAAAATATAATTATTTAATTGCCATGACAATAAAACACAATATTATTTTTACTATTAATTTGAATTCCATTAAATTCACACAAATTTACAGTAATTCTAATTTTTTTTCAAAATCCTTCAGAAAATACATACCTATTATCTGTCAAAAACCACTACAAAATGTCAAATAACACGGAGCGATAATATATACGCGATACATTAATAATTAAAATAAACGATCACACCGCTCCGATTCACTGTCAAACTGATACTGCGAATGAAAATGATAAATGCGCCAATTTACCCGCGAATCTAATCAACGAGACGTTGATGGTATATTTATGAAACAGCATTGCCGAAAGTTGATTTTAATTACAACAACGAACTCGTATAATGACGTCGCGTACCTGCAATTGGAATATAATCCGCGACAAATTCAATATTGAAATCACGGTTGGCCTAATAGCCTGTAATTATTTAGGCCGCGCACTTTTATCATCGATTATAAGTAGTGGCGCATGTCCCGAGCGAACCTGAATTAGAAAAATTAAAATGCGAGAACACGAACAAAGTTTCACGTAGCAAATTCCTTTTAGCATTTTCGAGTAACGAGGACTTACATGAAGCTCGCATAGAACCTAACCTAAACACGCATATGTCGCTACCCATTTGTCGTCTAAGACGGAACAATCAGAATTATACAGTAATTCAAAAAAAAAATCGATACACAATGTAATCATAAAAAAATCATTAAAAAATGTACTGTACCTAACCTGAATTAGAAAAATTAAAATGCGAGAACACGAACAAAGTTTCGCGTAGCAAATTCCTTTTAGCATTTTCGAGTAACGAGGACTTACATGAAGCTCGCATAGAACCTAACCTAAACACGCATATGTCGCTACCCATTTGTCGCCTAAGAAGAAACAAACAGAATTATACAGTAATTCGAAAAAATCGATACACAATGTAATCTTTAAAAAATTTACTTGTAAATCATACAATAATTGATCAACGTAACTCAAAATAAATTTAAAAAACAAAAATTCTTAATTAAAAGAAATATATGAACGACGCAATTCTATCATTGTCTTGTTTCTATTAAAGAGCTCGAAATAAAAAAAAAAGTCAATGATTATATATCGTGTTGCTTTGCTCATCCAACGAAGACCCTGGATTAAAGGTTCGTCCGTGACAGCTCAATGGTTCGTTACTTTTTATTGAAGTGTCTTATCTGTAGATAAAATAATACACTGCTCCAATCACGTAATAGCAAGGACGAGTGTCTGAAAATTTTTCATGCAGATCAGTCCACGAAGACACGAACGCTAATGGATACGCATACAATACGGATACGTGTAAGAGTTAACGAAATGTTCTATTCCTCGTTATTTGCCGGCAGAAGTTACGTCGACCGAGGTATATAATAGAAGCAAGTCAGTTTTTCCGCCGGAATTTACGCCGATTGCATAATTTTAACGAGCGTCTCTTAACGAAATTCAAATGCAATCATGGGACATTCGTTAGAGAGATTACGCATATGTTAATTAACTCTGCTTTGATATGGTATAAGCGTATGATGATTACGTCACGTTCGAGTATCCGAGAAAGTTTACCTGAAACCGGAAACACCTTTCCTGTCGACGTTGTGAAGTTTGGATATACCACTTAAGGGTTTACCAGGCAAATCCGTTAGTTAAAAGTATTACGTAATTTTCCAAAATTTTAAGTGTATCTCTCGTAGATGGAAAAAGGAAAGTTTAGTGCATTAATTCCAAAATAAGTTAACCTCAGACTGAATTAAGGGAGTCGAGGTAGCAACACACGCCTGTGTCGTTGCTTAAATTTTATCAAAATTCGCTATGATCTGAATTACACATTTAAATTTAATTAATTAATTATTTAAAAAAAACAGATAGCACCCACCAAACACAAATCCAAAGAAAAAAAAGATTTTTATATAAATTTCTCAATTAAAAATTTTTTAAAATATTTATCCCGACTTGCGGCCATTTTTTTCTTCATATCCAGATCATTTTTGTCTAACTGACAGCTATGTTTCATACTGGACGATATTTTTCGGATACAATTTTCGGGAATTTTTCCGGGCACGAAGAAAACGTCAGTTACACTTATATTAAATTATAGGTCAAGTTACCGTCTTACGGTAACAAATCGAATATCCCAAGTCACAAGCGTCACGTTTTCTGTACAAAGTTTGCACGTCTAGTACAGTTTGAAATATTTTCACAGTAAATTCAAATGTAAGATCGTACAGTCCATACAAAGTACACCTAAATAAATATTGTCCCTATGGTAAACTTTTGTTACTTGGTCGAAATAGCTTAATTAATTGATTCGGTGGATTAATCAAATAACTTTATTCGCTTCTAGTTAGTCCATCGAGTCTAGTTAAGTTTTTCCCAAGAGGACGATATCGATACGAACAGCTTTTTTTGCAATTCCCCCTGTACCATTCGATATCCACCCCCCTCTGCCCCCTTCACAAATAGTACCTATTGCGAATTACATTACGTCTGTAATTGTTATCCGTGATTTCGCATGAGTTTGAACAAAGTAATTCGAATAACGGGTGTAAATATTTTTTTCTGAAAATCGACTTATTTTCCTAATAAGAACTTTTTTTTAGTAACGTACACACGTTCTTGATCTAACGAGCTTTCCCTTGATAAACTATTCCTCACGAGATATACTCATTTTCTGGTAAACTGTCGAGGCTCAATATCCTTGTCACGTGGAATTGACATCGATTGTCCTCCTACATCATTTGCGCGACACTCCATACCCTATTGATTGCCGAATTCTTGGAAGTTTGGATAGATGAGGGAAAAAGTAAATATCATCATCATTGTTGATTGTTCGTTTCAATTAGGGCAATTTATCAGGTCGATTTAATACGCTTTTTTTCGAGGTAGAAAACTTTATCAGGTTTACCTCGTATCGGACTAGGGCTGGATATGAAATTATCATGAGGTCTTTTATTTTGAGATACTTGGCAGGAATCAAAGATGGTCGACTTACCTAAAGAAATATTTTCTATTAGTATCGTAAAAAAGATATTTTTAAAAAAGCAATATACCACAGTCTCTACGTATGCCTGAATTTTTTTTTGGGCAAATTCCTATTTCTTCAAAGTTTAATATCTACGTCATCAGCTATTAAATAGCTGTCGTGGGCTAATTCTGATAACCAGTGTTGCCTCCATTCATAGTCCAACCACCAGAGCTATAGTAAAGGTTCGTATCGATTACGATGGAATTTTTGGGTTATTTAGTAGTTTAGTATTAGTTCTGATGACGAGTGTATCCCCCCATTTATAATACAACCACGAGAGCTATAGTAAAGGCTCGTATCGATTGCATTGAAATTTTTTTTTTTTTTATTTAAAAAAAATGCCATTGTGAGCAGATTTTGATTCCGGTTTCAGTGTAGATTCGAGTGGATGCTGATTATCTCTTCCAGTCCGGACTTCAGTTTAATGAAACTACCAAAGGTCTTTTATTTTAAATTTGTTTCTATGATTTTTTTATATATATTTTTTAATATACTCTCTTTCTCAACTTTACATAAATCTTCGTAGAAAATTCACCTGGACACCTTAATATTTTCTGTCGTCGACGCGCTTTCATGACTATGTGAAAATACGACACCATCTACTCACTCTATCGTCAGGGTCTTATTAGGTAGCCCAAAAAGTGGTCATATGTAAAGTGGTCGTTACATGTAGTTCGATATGTTTTTATGACATATCGAAACCAATGAAGTCACCAAATAAGCCACACGTGGCTCTGCATACACTTTTCCTTAGAAAGTATACATACGTATAATTTCGAACTGAACTTTATTTTATTATTCTATTTTGGTATTCCGTAACTTTATCAAAGCCCACGTGCGATTTGTTAAAGATTTCATTGTTCGCGAACTGTCAAGAAACACATTAAACTCGTGGGCCGACTAAATGCTAATCAGAATCGTATTTGATCAGATTGCCTTGCTGATGCTTGAAAGGGCAATAGGGAAAAATTCCAAGTGTCCCTTTGATAGGTGAAATTGAGTTTCTACGTGAAGTCCTTTACTTGGACCAGAAGCAAGTAGTCTTCATTAGACTTCGTATGTATAACTATAGCTGGTACATGCATTTACCGTCGTGTTCGATATATCTGCGTATAGATCTAATTGGACATTAAATATTGAGGAGTTTAACCGAATGAAAAAAAAATTGTACTAATTACAGCACTGACAATACACGTGCACGAGTTGATGTAAAAAAAATGTTAATTATTTTCGAATAATAGCACAGTTCATCTTGCGAAAATTAATAAAAAAATCTGATAAAATAAATTATGAAAATCAATCACCCATCGTCCAATCGATCGTTACCCAAATTCTGTTTACGCAGGATAATTATTGTAATTCACGAAATATTATTTTATTTTTTTCTGTTCTCTTTTTTTAGCGCGTCGTTACAATTCCAAAAAATGTTACCTCTTCTTTGACTTTTTAATTTACTGGACTGTACACTGGAAAAATCTTATCAAGCGATTCGTGCGCCATCTACTAAGATGCAATTCTTCTCCTGACTGTACCATATAGTTGCACAATTTTTATTCTATTTTTCTTTAAATTTACGTCGCTTCACGTGCACAAGTTCGCAAGAAACTTTATTAAAGCCGCGACAAATTTTCATGTAAACGCGACACTCACTCCCCGTGACTTTTTATGTTGAATTCGCGAATCTGACCGCGCAGCTGATTATTACAACGGGCGATTCGCATGCGTGGCTGTAGAATGGCAGACGCCGGGCGTCGCGTAGCCGTCGTCGAGGTTTCGTATCGCTTCCGTCACGGAAGTGCTCGAGAAGAAGACGGCCAAGACAGTGAAAAAGTAAATAGCCGAAAAAGCCACGATGCACGTATATTCTCGAGCGGCCTCTCCCATCTCGACGGTTCGGCGGCTTCGAGGCAACTGGGACCACGACGCCGACGACGCCTCGACACTTCGACGCCTCGCAATACTTCGTGGCACGAAGCGCAGACGCTCAAAATAATCATTCCGACTTCCGTAACAGAGTTTTCTTAATTCTGTATTTTTTTTTTAACTTAAATTCGTACTCTTCCTCACGTATCCTTGGACTTATTAAAGATTCACGTTTCTCTCATTAAGCTCCCGTCTAATTGGTATCGACAGATTTCAATATCCGTTCAGACGTCTAGGCAGAAGATTCATCTCTGAATGTATAACTTATAAAACAACTTACTCAATGGACTTATTCAAATGGACCACTTCCGAGTGTCCCGTCTGTCCTTGGTACTATATTTTTTCACTTCCGGGTATAATTTCTCTGGACCGAACAGATCGGTCCGTTTGGATTTATAATTGAATATCAGTATGGCCGAACTGATTTTCGAAATTTCTCAGCCGAAAAAATTTATCGATCTAGAATGAATAATAAGCTCGAATGAATTTTTGAAAATTTTTTTTACCCATTCCGGCTCATTCGAGGACCTCAGTCGTTTTCGATTCGATATCTTGTCGCGATATCGATTTTCTACGTGGATACCATTATGCTGATCTTACAAGGAGCGTCTTTATCGTTAACGACCGATCGATTATCCATAAGGTTGGGAGACCAAAGATTTCTTATCAGATGCAAAAAAATGGAAATATCGTGAATTTTTTATTTCTTTCTCAAAAAGATGAATTATTAATTCTTCTTTTTCGTAAAACTTTTGCGGATGTCTAAAAAATATTTTTTTAAGGAGCTCGTTACTTTCACTCTCGTTAGGTCGGGGGTCAAGTGGTGGCGAGAACGACATAAACAGACACAAATTACAATGGCAATTTACTTGGAGAGCAAAGGGCAAGTTTTGCGAATGTCCACCCACAAGCTTTGGTCTCCTTCGTAGGCCTCGGGCATTGCTTCGTACTTGTGAAATTATAATGACTTTTACATAAATGAGAAACAACCTCTTTCTCCAGTATAATTGACTAAAAAGTCCTTTCTCGTAATTACATGTTATACATGGTCGTCTGATCAATCGATATATAGTTACGTGTTTGCAGCATTTCAATTCAATGAAAATCAATGACAGTTCAGAAATGGACCGAAGTCCTTAAGACTTTTTCATAGGTGGCGACAATATTAAATTACCAAATCCATTAGCTGACCGTATCTCGTTTACTCTGTAAAGTGGGAAGATGAAGTCAAAAAAAAAAAGAAACAGATCTTAGGATAAAACATTAAGGACCCTGACCCTAGCTCATCAGTAATAAGCTCAATAATTTTACTTATTACTCTTGGCTGAAGTGACACGTGTACGAAAGTTCAAACGGTATTGGGCGTTACCGTTATTGGGTATAACGAAGGTTCATCGATTTTTCCTGGTGCGAATGTAATGCGAATATAAGTTAGAATTAATGAAGAAACATTTTACTCGCTGAAAAATAAAACAGTGTCTTTTTGCGTCGTCTGCTTTACGAAATCTCCTTAAGCTCTTCGCTATTACGACCCTGTGGCTTCATTTAGGCACTTTTATCATCCGATAATTAAATTAACTGTTATCATCTTTTTCACTAAAGATTATCAACTGTTGCTGTGCACTTGGGTTAATTTTAAATCGAGGTAATGAAGCTTGTTCGCGTTTTTCGGGGATGTTAAAAATAAAATTTCTTTTGCTGTTTTTGCTGAAATTTTGGCAGATCGATTATTCTCGTTTCGAGACATCACGCGGTTATTCGCGATGTGGAATATACTGAGATCGCGTGAAACAAAGAGCTCTAATCTGGATTATGAAAAAGCTACAATTTTTTGAAAAACGGTCAAATTTTTTTTATTACTACTTGAAAGTGCTTGTGACCGATAACCATTTCCGCGATTTATTGTTTTCCAAATTTTTTTTATTTGCTTATTTCTCCGTGGTAGCCATTATAACCGAATAGATAATAGTAGACAATATTGGAATTTTCTTTTAATATAACACGTGATCCAAAAAGACCTGATCAATTAAACACATTCGTTAGACTTCGTTATACACGTGACCTTACGAAGCCTATATTACATACCGTTACCGCTTGACGGATAATAACCTCAAGGTACATTTATTAGTACAAATATTTCGAAACAAAATTTTCAATTCAAACACAGAGTATCTCTAACTTTTCAAAAATTGAAATTTTTCTTTTATTTGCAAATTAATCAACTCATTAAGCATATTACCTTAAAATATGGTATACCCGTGTATTATTAAACGAACAATCAGTAAATGGTTGCTGCATTGATAAAAAATATTGGGTTGGTATGAAAGTTTTGCGAAACCTTTTTGTTTACACCACATAGTCATTTTATCGAAGCTAGTCGAGAACATTCTAGAAGTAAAATAATTATTAAAAACGTTCTGCAAACTTCTTTTCCGACAGGTATAAAAGATAAATATATAAAGTGCAATAAAATGTAATAATTTCAAAAAAAATCTTTCAGTTTCCCAAGACTTTTTTACCAACCCAATAGTATATACCTTATTGACAATGATCTCCCTTTACAACAGGAAAAATGTTATAGATCACAGTAATTTATTAAAACTTTCAATTATAATAAACAAAATATTTTCACAAGCATTTAAAAAGTTATAATTGAAAATTTTATTTTTATTTTACCCAATATTAGTTGTTTTTATCAATATCATCGAATCACGAAAACCGAGGTAGAGCCCAGACAAGTGGCTGTTACCCAGCGTTAACCTTAACTTACATAAGGGTAGGTGGGAGTAAGACGAGTTCTATTAAGGATATAATGTCGTAAAAATAAATCCAAAAGTATATCATGATTGTGACACCCAAATAAAATAAATTACATTAATCATTTACCCTCAGGATAATATTTTAGCCATCTGTTGATTTAATACTGATTGAATCGTATATGAAAATAATTCATAAGGTATTTACGATATCACCCATCGAATTCCTAGTGATTAACTGGATTCGTTTCCCAAGTCATAAACTACTGAAATAGAACGTATTTCCTCGTGCTAATCTTGGTGAGAATTGTGCTTATGTTCGCACACCTTGGCATACTCATATTTTTATGTAAATGCGGTAAACATTTTAATGACATTGTAATACTATACTTTTCGGAATTGAAGGGTGTTTTACCATTTTTTGAAAAGTAGTAAAAACAATACTTCCCGCCCAACCGAAACGGCATTACCGCTACTTAAATTTGAAAATCTGGATATATCTGAGAGCGTGAATTTAGTTGAAAAGACAATTGTTCTCGTTTAACACCTTGGAAACACCAGACTCCTGTATCGTATACATTGTAATGTAGCGCTTTCGACGTCACAAGTGGAAATTGGATATCGATTTCAAATTAAAAAAAAAAGTTCTAGCTTGCTTTCTACAATTTTAGTGAGACAAAATAAGGAAAGCCCGTTTGGTAATAATTGCTGTAATATTGTAGAATTTTTAATCTACATAATAACAAATGCAATGGATGTACGAGCTATTATTATCCAGTATAGTATCCAGTCAATTTCAGTATAATTTTGAAATAGTTTCAATTCCTATTTTCAGAGTGATTTTTGAAACACGTTTACAACAGAATTTACGGATCTACGTTTTCCTCTATTTAAAAGAGATAGCCAGTGCCATAAAGCTAAGCAGTATTCAATATAATACAAATTGGGAAAATTAGTAAATAACATTATAGAGTTTTTTATATTTATTTAAGTGGGAATGGAATTTACTTTTTTATTTATAGTATATAGTATATAAAAGCGAGGAAAAGTTGAATTTGAAGTGTGTCGACAAAAAGATTTTCCCTGTGGAGCACGATTTTTTTAACATTGCTGAGAAATATATAAAACAGAAGTGACAGCCTAGAGACATGTCATGGCGCCACGACAATACCTTTGACATTTTCTACGCGACAAGAAAAAGAAAGTAAATTTTCTTTCATTTTCTACCATTTTCACACTGTTTCAAGGAACCACCGATGAAAATCGAAAAAAGGATCATGCAGGGAAAGTTTTATGCGTATCAAATTACACCTTAGCACTGGGATTTGCTCCCACACAGGGAGCAATATAGGGAGCTGTCAAGGCGCCGTCTTGTATCGCCTAAAAAATCCTGAGTGGTCTCGGGATCGCTGATTACGAATCCGTGATACACATTCCATACGTTTTGAAATTACAAAAATTACAAAAAAAATATTTCAAAATTGCAAAAATAAAGTGAAGCTACAACTCGTCACGTCCTTGTCTTTATCTCTGGGTAGTGCCAAGAATGAGTGAATTTTCAAATGATCAAATTTCCAATTTACATTCCTAATCAGTGACCCCGAAAACGAGCCAAATTAATATTTTCACCAATATTATCGGGATTTTTCATTTCGTCGGTCGCCATCTTGATTCCGCCATTTTTAGTTTTAAAAATCAGATTACTAGAAAAATAATGGATTTTGAAAATCCGATTATTAGAAAAATATATGCTTCAAAGGGTCAAGGTAAACTTCGCAGTGGCCGGACACCTAACCCTATGGTCCCACTTCCCTGACGTCCATAAGAAACCGTATTTCCATCTCTCTTGCACGCACACGATTTATCCAGCCACTGTCACATGTATACCCAAATAATTGGAAGCTATGATAAAATTGATGAGTTCTATAATCTCAATATATTTTTTTATATAAAAAATTAATCTCTAGCATTGAATTGATCCAATTACAAAATAAGATTCCCCAATGATTAATCAACCCCGAAAATTCTCTGTAAATATCAGTCGTCCTTATGTCGAGGAAAGGAGTAAATTAAAAGAATTATTCAGCACAGTAAAAAATATCTAGCAACGTCATAGACCGCAATGCAAAAAATACAGCGTGTAAGGATCCTACCGCATATCGATCCTAAGTCGTAAAAGCAGGATTCTTAAAAAAAAAAATAAATAAATGATAGGT